TTTTTTTCATTCTAGTATACACGATAACTATACTTATACTCATTAAAAATCAGTCATATTTTTTAATTACAGATCAGAGGGAGAGATCAATCTACTTCCACCAGTTAGGTCGGTCCATTTTTTTTGAGAGGGGGACTTCAGCGCCATTTTTCTAATTTAAAAAAAAATTTTTTTTTCGTTTTGATTTTCATTTTTGTGTAGTTGATAAGTAATATAATAAGTGTAAAAAAATTTGAAAGCATTAGTCATTCCCTTCATATAGAAATGAAATTCTTAAAATAGCTTAAATTTTAGGCCGCTAGACCACCGGGTCCCCTTAATTAAATAAAATGTCTAAAAAATATTTTTTTTATTTTCCAGGTAACAGAAATAAAAGCTGTTAAATTATTAACATCAGAACTTCTCGAAGATTATTCGGCAACTACGTCACATGAATCATTATTCTCACCAATCATAAAAGCATCTGTTTGCCCAAAATTAAGTAAAGGAATAATGTGCAGACATCTGTTGTCATCTGAAGATCACAGTGTTGCATTATTGCAGCACAATAAATTAATATGGACACGTGAAGAAGCTCTGGCTAGTATAATAACCGTTGAAATGGTTGAACTACCAATGTCTGATCGTGACCAAACGCTTGAAACAGAGTTCGATCAAAAAGAAAGTAAGTTATTTGTATTTCTTCTTTAACTAATAAAAAATTAAAAAACTATTATCTTTAAAATAGTATTAAAAAAGTAATAGGTCCATATTTATTCTAACGAGCAATTGGCATGATTTTGTTCATCTTATGTTATCAACATGATCATTGATTGAATATTAGGTGAATTTAATCATTGTATTCTACAGTAATTTCTGAATATCGATATGAATTATTGTTAGGAGTTTATTTTAACGTAAAAAATATTTTATATTCATTATTAATATTTTTAATTATTAAATTATAATTCGTGATGTAAAAAATTAATTGACATGGTATTAATAAAATTTATTTTGTGAATGGCTGCTGGCAGGTATCGATATAGACGGTTCATGTAAGTAGTTTATTGCAGGATAGGCTGGTTTTAATCAATAATTATTTCGATTTAAATTATAAATAATCGCATGAGTTTAGCAGTATTATAGTGTAGTAGATTGAGCATGGTGGTTTAAATTAATCAGCGCAGTTCAGATCGCGACTACAAATAAATAGACAGTATTTTACTAGATCCATCTGTTTATCCAAAGGCTACTGTGTACTTCAGTAATTGAAGTAACAATTATGATAGATATAATTGCTTATTATTATTATTGATTAATAATTGGATTTATTTATTTGCATGAATTTACAGCAAAATTTTATTGAAAAATTATTCATCAGTGGATTTTCAATATTGTAGCAGAATTTATATTTGCTTTTTTACTGATTGAAATAAAAAAATTTATTGATTATTGTAGAGTGGATATAAATATTTTGTGAAGATATTTTTTCTTTTTGAATTGGTTATTAGTAAGTTATTTAAAACTGCAACTAATTTTCCTTTTTTATTTTATCTTTATCAGGGGACGTTATTGGAATGTTTACAAGAAGACTGACGGCTCAGATGAATCAGGTGAGATCATTATTCCAAACAACTTTTGACATCAATTTACCGCAATCGAATCAACGAGCTGATCTTGTCAGAGATAAATTTGGATTACACAAAATGATCGTTGTTGTAACATCTGCTGGAAAGGTATATAATTTTTTTATTAAATTCTAAACATACCTATCAAAACATTTATTATTTTTGTTTGATACAGTTATTTGGAATTGAGTCAAAGAAAGGTGAAGTTATATGGCAGCTAAGAGTAAATGATATAACTAGTCTTAAAAGTGATGCGAATACCATGCTCCTGTTTGTCCAAAGAGGAAGTCGGCATTTCCCGCACCCTCCACAGTGTGCGTTGTTAGCTTTAGATAAGGTAAATAACTCGAATTATATTTATTTAAAATAATGAAATTATCTAGTCTAGTATTTATAAAATATTATGTTAATTTTTCAGAAATCAGGAGAAGGTGTAATATATACATTTAACCCAATAACGGGTCAGCCAATCGATGGATTAGTTAAATTAGGATATAAATTAAAACAGTCAATGTTATTGCATATAACGACGGATGATTTTCTTCGTCCAATATTACTTCTTGATACACGTGATAAAGTTCACGTATTTCCAGAAAATGCAACGGCTGTGGCAGCTTCTGTTGGAAAAAATACATATTTATTTACGGGTGATCAAGAGACTGGTGTATTATCAGGATTTTCTCTTGCATACAGTACTTCAAAGGTATGAAACCATCATACAATTATTATTAAAATTTTAAAAATTTATTTTTACAACTTCTATAATTGTATTTACAGGAATTAGTTGCTCATAAAGTATGGGAGTTGGTACTGTCACCGAAAAATCAAAAAATAACTCATATCGTCTCGAAAAATTCTCTTGAGCACGTTCACTCACAAGGTCGTGTTCTGGGAGATCGATCAGTATTGTACAAGTACATTAATCCAAATTTAGTTGCTATTTTAACTCAAGGTGTTGGTAATTCGTATAAAAGTAAGTTTAAAAATTATTAACTTAAAAACTTGTTATATTATTAATTAATAAATATATTTTTTAATTAAATAAATTTTTTTAGATACACTTAATTTGTATCTTCTGGATGTAGTGTCCGGTGCAATGATATTTTCAATAACTCACAAACGAGTGCGTGGACCATTTCATATAGTACATTCTGAAAACTGGCTAATTTATAGTTACTATAATGATAAAAGCCGTAGAATTGAAATCGCAACATTAGAGCTTTACGAGGGTAAAGTTCAAAGCAATACCACAGTGTTCTCGTCGTTGACCACAACGCGATTACCTTTAGTCGAAAGACAAGCATTTATCTTTCCTGCAACTATTGAGTCAATGCAGGAAACTATTACTGAGAAAGGAATCACTAGTAAACACATACTAGGTATATTTTATTACGAATTTCATAACTGTTATATTATTTCCTCAATATAAATTAATGATAAATGAATTTTTTATATGCTAATTAAGTATCTCTTGCTAATGGTGGAATTTTGGAGTTACCGTGGATGTTGGTTGATCCAAGGCGGCCTATTAATCCCGAATTAAGGGAAGAAGGTGTTATACCTTATATGCCAGAGATACCAATCCACATGGATGCCATTATTAATTATAACCAAAGTGTATTCAGGGTATCAGGAATTCATACAAGTCCCAGTGGCCTTGAAAGTACTTCTTTAGTGTTTGCTCACGGTATTGGTAAGTAATTATCACCAATATTATTCATTAAAAGTAAATATTATTATATTTTACTTTATTAAAAATATCATTTAAATTTTAATTACAGATTTATTTTATACCCGTGTGGCTCCATCAAAAACATTTGACGTTTTGAAAGAAGACTTTGACTACTATCTTATCATATTAGTTCTTTCGGGGCTGTTAATAGCGTCTTACATAACTAAAAAATTGGCATCGCAAAAAGCACAGAAGCAAGCGTGGAAATAATGTCATCACATCGCCATCACAGAACATATTATAAAAGAAATACAAAAAAAAAAAAGTTTATTTCAATCACTTTTTTTTTTAATTCGTCTTTATTCACAAATTAGATAATTCTTATAAATATTTAAATAAAATGTCATGGTCATGAATCATGATAATAGTAATTTATAAACAACAAGCCCCTTTTTGTAAATGGCTCGTATGTAAAATAATTTATGAAAAATACGTAATGTATGTTAAGAAATGATAAGATTATTAAATAGGTAAATGAATTTGATTTTTTTTTTTCTGTAAAGATTACCTTCAGCGTTTTAGACACAAATTTGTAATGTGTTTTTTAAATTAAAACTTTCTTTATTTACAAATAACTGTTTTATTTATTGTTGTTGTTGTTGTATTGTACAGTACGATGTATTTATTTATTTTATTATTAATGCGAGTTTAAGAATTACGTTTTTGTTTTTACAAATGTTCAATTACATTCGATTATTTTGTTTATGAATGAATTATTGTTATAGAAGAAACAGGAATGACAAACAGATTTTGATGATGTGATTTGCGTAATTTCATTTATACACGTGGGTGTATTTGATAGATAAATGCGGGTATTCTGAAGAGTATTGATTATAAATTGCGGCTGCGCAACTACCTAATGCCGATCACATGCCCACATTCATTATTACGCGGGGGTACATGATAATGATAAGAATAAAAAACAGTGAATAGGACGCACGCGGTTCACTATTTTAAAGACTATTATGTAGGAAAGTGCTAATCTGTAAGACTGTTAATCATAAATGTGTGCGAATTCAATTTTTTTATTTCATTTTTTTATCCAATTACAGTACACGAATAGTTACTGATTGTCAAGTGAAATTACATTATTTTGAACGTAGGTATTATTACGCGTTTTTTTTTCAACTCAAAACATGCATTATTTTGGTTTTATTAATTGGTAATAATACAAATCGTTTATCAACACCCGCATTTATTTGTTTATTTTATTGTAAAGCATACATGCATCATTGATTTTAGTGTCAGAGTTTAAAAATGAATTTTTAACGTTGAAATGCAGTTGCAATTTTCAAATCCATATGTTTGAATTATATGTATGACTATTCAGCCGCAGTGCAGGTTTATTCAGTTTGTCAATAATTGAGTAATTAATTACTTTAAAGTAACAATTTTTTTTTTTTTAGTACCTGCAGTAATTTATAATTTTATAATCATCTAATTAAAAATCATAGACTGTTTCATATTTTATTAATTTCTTTAATTGACATCTCTTATTCATCTTTTAAATGTTTTCTTCATCTTGTATTTTCTGAACAAATAATCAGTGACATTAATTAATTATTTTTGGATTTATTTTTAGCCATTTCTTCTTCAGTATGACGTTAAAAAAATATCAAGAATTTTATCGTTTTATATTATAAGAAAAAAAGCTTACCCATTTTTCCTCATATTATTTCTGTCGAACAAATTACAAATAAAGTTAAGTAAACAGTTCCACATGTTTACTCTTATTGTAACTGTAAGGAAAAGTAAATGAAGACGCAAATATTTAATTTCAATTGTCACTAATTACTTGTTCCTCTCTTATCAACATAAATTAAACATTTATTTATAATATACCTATAATGATAATTAGAATAGTAATTTTTATTTATATTTATAAATTCGCTATTATGTTGTCACGCAAAACAATTTATAATATTGAGATAATAAATGAATGAAATGTCAATTTGTCAATTATTGTACTGCATCTTACATACGTAACCGTAAATAATAATAGCGTATGAATTAATAATATACGCACTTGTTATGTAGAAGTATAAGTGAATTGAGCACTGCTTATCTGAAATTACAATAGCTGGCTGGGCGAATAGAAACGAGCCCCCAGTTATTTTATATGTTGATACTTCATGCTTGATATCACTTCCAGACCAAGGTTGTAATTAATTTAAGCGATTATTGTTGCTAACTTTTATTTTTATTTTATCTTCTGTTCGTACATTTACAAATCTCAGTACATTTATCATACACATATGTCAATTTGTAATAATACATTATTTAAAAATTTTGTAATTACATATGCTGCATGTATTTCTTCATCAATAATATTTCTTTAAGGATATTCTTAAACAGATTCAGAAATTGTCAAAAAAAAATTCAATTACTGTAATAAGTAGATATTTTTTGAATAATATTAATTATTTCTACCATCAAAAATCTTAAAAAAGAAAAATTTATTTTTCAAGTAATGAAGAATAAAAAAAAAATAGAAATTTTTAATAAAAAATTGAATTTTTAAATTAAATTAGAAAAATGAAAATTTTTTTGATGATTTCTGAACAGATATTTTCATAAAAATAAAAATGTTTTTCACTAAAAAAATTTTTCAATTTTCCAGGATAAAATTCTGTAAAAATCCAAAAAAATGGTGGATGTAACATCAAATTTACCATCAACCAATGGAACAACATTGATGGGCCGCACAAAAGGTGCTTTGAAAACAATGCGAACAGCATTAGGAGGTGGTGGAGAGTATCTCCAAGGACTGGGTAGCAGAATAGGATCAGCATTGAGCAGCAGCTTTGAAGACAGCGAAGTAACAACTCCGTCCTCGCCGCCGTCGCTTCACTTGAATGACCAGAACACCAGCCGAAATGAAGGCACGGCACGACGGAAGTTGCGGTTTCCTCGGTATTATCACCATGTATTTTTAATTTTTAATTGTACCATTCACATACAATATTATTTTTACTCTTATTATTTAACATTTACACACATAACATTTAATTTTTAATTGCTTATTACTTATATAGGACTTGATGTTTATTTCCTCATGATTGTTTACTAATAGACCCGGCGGAGGATTTTCCTATGAAGATTACGAAGCAATGACCCGACATAAGCTCGAACGGGAAGCTTGTACCCGTTCACGTAGAAAATATCCTGCGGGAATGACGTATGAGGAGATTGCATCTTCGCGAACTTCTGTTGTAAACAAGAATCCAGTGCAAGTCGAGCAGGATATTAGTCCGGACAGAGATAGTATTGAGAGTATTGAGCCACTTGAAGAGAAAGATATCCGGGCTACTGGTCCAGATCCTTACGATAAACTTGATTACAAAATAGGTAAAGATTTTATCTTAAAATTCAAATTTTATTTTATATTTTTATTCTTCTTACAATTTATAATTACTCATATAAGAATAACATTTAAACTCTAACATTTAATTGTACTAACAAGTAATTATAATTTTTTTATATTTTATTTTTATTAAGCAAGGGCTCCAGATCGCTATGAAACGGTTGTTTTTCGTTTAGGTAATTTATTATATAATAAATAAATAAATGTTACAAAGCTTTATGTGAATTACAGGTACATGTCTAACTGTGACCCCTTAGTTGTCTTTTATTATTTTATTTTATTTAAATTTCCTGTATTTATTATTATTATTATTATTATTATTATTACATGTTTGTTTAATTTTGTAAATTTATCAACTTCCATAATCATGTTATATTCATAAAATTTATTTTCTCATGATCTGTGGCAGTGTAAATAGGAAATGTAGTTTATTACTATCAACAAGTGTTGCTAGTTAAATTTTCAACCGATAAACTGATAATACATACGGCAATAATAATTTTCACTGTTGTTATTATTATTAATTGCCGTAAGTACAGATATAATTTGTGAAAACTATTTTATTTAAAAACAATTAGTTTTTGTTATCAATACAAACATTTTTTTTACAGTATTTAATGGAGCACGTACACGGTGAACACTGGGTTTAACAACTTATCTGTTTTATAAATCCCTATAACATGTATAGTAGTATTTATGTACTATATTGACATATATAAAAAACAGATTACAAATACTCTTTATTTTTTTTTTCCTGTAGATTATATATATATGTGCTTGTAGCCGTGACAATAAAAATAAATATTTAATAATCTGTATTATAAATTGTTATTTTTATTTTTACAGATGTACCTTGTAGTAGTGGCTCGGCGAGTGATCAAGACGGCTACGGGCCCAGTACGAGTTTAGATTCAAATATGGATGGTCGAAGAAATTGGGAAAGATCAGGTGAAGTTTATTTGTTATTTTTTTTTAATTAATTATGTTATTATGACAATTTATTTTTTATCTACACTGATAAAAAAACTAATTTTATTTTAAGATTCTAATAATTATTTAGTTTTTTGTTTACAAAAATTAAAAATTTTATTGCAATTTTTCAAAATTTCCATATTTTGATTTTCAAAACTATTAAATTGAATTTTTGTAAACTAACAATCTTAGTTGTTAGTGACTGCCGTAACTTATGAACTATAAATAAATAAAATTTTGCTTTATTAAATAATTACTTTTGTTAAATTGCACTGTACTTTCTTAAATATTGACGTTTTTAAATATATAAGCTGATCGCGATGTTACACTCATCAAAGCCTTTCATTTGAGTACCCACATGCATTTTTGATATATTTTATATATATATATGTATATATAAATATATGAAATATATGAAAAATTGATGTGGATACTCAAATGAAAGGTCTCGATCAGTGTAACATCGGAATGAGCTTATATCTTTAAAAATGTCATTAATTCACAAGATACAAAGTAATTTCTTAATTACTGAAATTTTTAAAGATTATATATATATATATATATATATATATATATATAATATATAAAATATATGATAAATTGATGTGGGTACTCAAATGAAAGGTCTCGATGAATGTAACATCGGGATGAGCTTATATATTTAAAAACGTCAATAGTTCTCAAGATACAAGGTCATTTCTTAATTATATATCTAGAGATAGAGAATTTTCGAATGCAGCCTAAATACTTATCATAATAAATTTACAGTGAAAATGATATGAAACCTTAAAAAGGCACAAATTCAAGTCAAGACCTTTACATTGACACTAAATTTCACTATAAAAACCGATTTTGTCATATGACTATCCTGGACACAAAATTTTTCTTATTCCCTTAATAATATAGACAATTAGTAATTACTAATATAAAAATAATAATTATAGGGTCTTCCGGCTCGGTACAATCATGGGCATCAAGTTTGTCTGCAGACAGTCAATCTGAAGAAGCAGCTGCTGATTTTATGAAAACTTTTGTACCAATGTTGTTTGATGCGCCGGAAAGTATCGACCAGGAGCAAAAAGCTAGCTTTGGCCAAATGGTTCTTGTACGTATAATATTTAATTTTATATGAATCTTCATTACCTTTATTATTTGTTCTTTGTTAAACATTGTACATTAATTATAGACCGAGTCGGGAAGAATATGGTTCTCAAGGGTTGTTAATGCCAGAAGAGCACGTGCCTGTGTTTCAGAAGCTTCCTTTTATTCATTAGCGCAACACTTTGCAGTGGCGTTGTTCGAGTGCCACGAAGCTGATGATTTCGCTCCTGCTAAAAGTCTTATGAATATGTGTTTTACATTTTATCATGAAGGTACTTAATAATAGTAAATAATTATAATTAATATCATTATTAAGAAGAAATAAAGAGTTTAATTGGTTTTATTTTTAGTGGAAGTCCCTGGGTTGGAGCCGTATAGAGAATATTTGTATACACACCTTCGAGTCCAGCCTATCTGGAGATCCATGAGATTTTGGACTGCTGCATTTTTTGACGCTGTGCAATGTGAAAGAGCCGCTAGACCAGTTCCTTCGAGATCAAAGTCTTTAGATCGAGAGACTATTGCTGCAGAAGACCGAAAGTATCAAGCTAATATTGTCTTCGGGCAATTGGGGTACTTGTTTTTTAATAAAATAATTATTAAATAATTTTTTATTATTATAATTGTAATAAAAAACAATTATTCACTTGTTTTTAGTACTTTTACATGCAATATGCACGCTTTTGGATTGTCCAGAAATCTTTGCTTAGAGTTTTTACGAAAACAGTGCGTGATAGCCAATCTCACATCAGGTAACTTGATAATTTTTTATTATAAAATTGATTTTAATTACTAAATTTATAATTGTTAATTTAAATTATTTATATTTTTAGAACAAGAAAAAATGTTACGGGATAATATTATGCGAATGTTTGACGAGTCTGAACCATGGAGGTAGTAGGACTATAAATAATGCGGGCGCTGTGGGTTGGCGCATAATAATTAACGACTGAATAAGTATTTGAATATTAAATTTTCCATATAATCAGTATTTGTCAATTAAAATGAGATCTATTGTTTAATCTAAATTATAAAATACCAGCAAGTATTTTTGAATGCCGCTGAAAATAATTGGTAAAATGGAATGAAGCACTGATAATTATAATAATGATAATTTAAAATATTTTAATCCAAATGAATTATTTTAAATAATTAAAATTAAATTTAAAAACTAATATATAATTAACGATTTGAAAATCGTTTCTTCAGAGCCTTAACTATTTAAGATTACAGTTCTGCTAACTATTTTTGTGATTATGGAACTATGAGCTTCTTCTTACCTAGATCTTGATAAATAAATTTCTACTAAAAGAGGAGGATTTATTAAAATAATATTAAATCTTTAAAAGTACTTTAAAGTACGGTACTTGAATGTTATGTAATTAAATAATAAATATATAAATATTAATATATTATTATCTTTTAAAATAAACTAAAAAAAAAACCTTAAAAATTCCATATCATGTTATATAAAATTATGTAATCTTGACAATAATAAATAATTATTCGATTAGGTGTAATTGGGGCGGAATTTAATCATAAATACCAATAAATTTTATATTAATTGTTTATTTTAGTGTACTCGGAAATGTTTAACCGCAACCAGTGGGTCTTTATCATTATTATTAATTTCTTCTTGTTAACACATTAGATCAGTGAACATCACATTGCTTTTATATCAAGTTCACACAGTATTTTTCATTATTCATAATTAATTAATATAATTAAATGTATGAGCGGTTTTTGAGACGAATTAATTTTATATTATTGTATCAATTAATTTATTATTTATTTATTTAGTAGCTAGTAATTTTAAATAGATTTTATTAATGATAAATATTTTTACTGACTAACAAACTACGAAGTTTTTAATAAAAAAACACATTGAATCATCTCAAAAACAACCCTTACATTGTTTTAAAGACAGTCGTACTTATTATTTATTATTTTTAAACGTCTTTTGGTTCTTTTACACAGTTCGACATGCCAGCATATTCGTACAATACTCAAAAACACTCATGCGACCAAGTCATTTAAATTAATTAAATAAAAAAAAGATGAAAATTAAATAATTACATATGTTTATCTATTTATGAGCTTTAATTTCAGGAAAAATAATATCAGAAATTTATTATTTAATAAGTTTATTTTTTATTTAATCGAGGTAATATTTTAATGCTATTAACGTTAATGAATATCTCAAATATTGAATTTATATGCTCATTTATACAAATATTAAATGTATGAGTGTTAAAATAAGGACGGGGATAAGAGTTATTTTCGTTCCATTATAATTTTTTGAATATATTAAACTTATAAATAAATATCGTCGTTGTACAATTTTTTCATTTATTTTTATTTTTATCGTCAAATTTTTTATACTATTCAATTAGTTCTTAATAAAAAAAAAATATTCCATTAATATTAAAAATTTATTTCTTTTTTTTATCGACCTTAATTATAATTAAAAGAAATAATCAATAAAAAATCATCACATGTATTAATTTTTTTTTAATTAATAAAAAAGAGCATTGGACACCATTGATTTTTTTCTCTATTTATTCATTTATTTAGTATCAATTATTTATCTGATTCTCGGCAGTACACTTATTATTAATAAACAGTAAGTGCGAATGTCCAGTGATTCATATTAATATTAATATAAATAATAAAAAAAAAGATTTTAAATTTTGCGTAAAAATACTGACGTTCGCACTTGAAAAAATTTTTAAAAATTAATCCCTTCTAATTAATCTCTTTAATCTAATTACTTTATCCGTCTAATGCTATACGAAAAATGATTATTACAATATCATTATTTATATATTTATATGTATTTATATATATTTATATTTATATATAATACAATCTACATTACATTTCTAATTTTCGAAAAATAATATTACAATATTTATATATAAATAGTGTAGTTGTGTAAGTGTAAGTATATTATTGTTCAACGTGTACCGTCAATCATTTATAATATTATTTTATTAATTTATATTTTTAAAATCCTCCATATATCCTCTTATCCCCACCGACTGTTACGTCGTATTGTTTTTCATTATATAATATGAATTAATAATAATTAATCCACTCAATTTAATTTTAATTACATTTTTTAACGTGACTGTTATTTAAATTTATTTATTTATATCGAACGGAAAAAAAAATTACATAATTTTAATTTTATTGCTCATGTAAATTCAAATACAGATTATTTATTAAAACAGTCACTGACAAATAAAATCATTACAATAATAAAAAATCAAGTCGTAAAATTTTATTTCATTCACAATTACGCCGTATTCATTTTAATTATCATCCCATTTATTTAAATTTTAAATGTTTTCATTTTCAGCAGCTAAATATTTATCACTAATAATAACTGTGTGTAAGTGTAATTATTAAATCGCTAGGCGTTTTTCCTCTTTACTTTTATTTTACTTGAATAACAATCACTTTCAAAAATCAATTTTTGTTTTTTATTTTTTCTTTTGCAATCTATTAATTTTATTTTTTTCACTAGATATATCACAAACTGCCGGTGATTAACATAAATCATGAGGTTTTGCATCAAATATCGAGTAACTAATATCAATAATCAATAATAGTCATCACGGTGTCTTGGACACTAGTGTTGTGTCAGTCTTATCACTTACATTCGGTTATAATTATTATTTTAATTACAGTTATTATCTCGAATTTTTTTTATTTATTTATTTTCTTTTATTTTGATACAAATCCAAGATTTATCACCGTTTAAAAGTATAACATTAAGGATTACAAGTTAATCAATTACATCACCGAGGTCGAGGTACATTTTATTTTATATAAATAATTATCTACGAATTTCATTATAAATCATAGAGAAAAAAAACCTGACCGTTTATATTAGTTACATATCGTCTTCATTAACGACTGCAGTTTCATTGTTTATTTATTTATTTAAATACCCTACTAATTATCATAATTTATAATTATAAACTTATCATGCTGTCATTGAGGACTTTATTTATTTATCTTTTTATTTAAAGTGTAAATATTAATAATTGTTATCTTAAATATTAGGCGACTTTTTTTAGATTTTTTCAATAACCCATTTACCTCCATACAAGTTTTTTTTAATTAAATAATAATAAATTTAGATTTTTTTGTTTGTTTTCTATTTTAATATTTTTTTTATTTTGGATTTTTTAAATATTTTTTATATAACTTGTAGTCAAGGGGGGAGAAAACGCCTTTGTGGCAACAAAATCTGCTATAAGCTCAGATATTAGATTTAAATATAATAGTAATAATAATTAATAATAGATGTTATTACTATAATAGTTTACTTTATTAATAAGTAAATCTGCAAAGGACCTATCAAGCTTTTGTTGCGTGTAGCCGCGAAGCTTGCTAATTATTATTAAATTGTATGCAATTTGCAAATGAATACAGTTTAAAAAATCCAAACTTCTAAATTTAGACTCTAAGAAGACTAAGATTAAATGGTATGTAATATTTAATCTATCGGTAATAATAATTAACAATATTTAAACAGTAAAAACTACAGCGAGTATGATAATAAGTTTTTTTTTATTTTTTTATTTTTTTATTTTACTAAGCAAGTCTATCTAAGTCCAAGATTAAAGATTTTTTGAATAATGTATTAACATTTAAAGTTAATTATTTTTTTAAAAAGATACCATACGCCGTCATAAATATACATAAGGTATATATATTTGCATATAATCATACAAAGCTCTACACCGTGGAAGAATTTCAATGGACGTCAGAAAAAACTATGATTGAAGTTTAAAATAAAAAGTTTTTTATTAAGTGTTATTAATATGCAAATTTACGTTTAATAATTTGCATAAAAGCGTTTGCTGTTTTATTGTTACTAAAAATTTTATTTTAAGTCGACTTGTCGAGAATTTTTTTTTTTTTTTACGACCAACAAACAGTTTATAATTTACTGTAATTTTAATTTAAACGAAATTTAGTTAGACTCTGAACTTAAGAATTCATTAGTCTAAATTTTTTTATTTTTTTTATAACTAAGCTAATAAAACAGAAGTTTATTTTTATCCCGTTGAAATCAAAAATAGCATTTTATCTGACGATATTTTCCTTTGAATAAATTTTCAATAATTAATTTTTTTTTTTTTTTTCAATAAAACTGAATTTTTTATCATAATTTTTCAAATATAAAATCAATTAAAACGAATTTTAATGACACACATGCATTAATTATTATTACAAAACAGAAGTACGGATGAATTAACATCTAAATGTAATTACAAGACCGTAATTTGGCTAATTAAAATTCAGCGGGACAAAAACACCATAATCAAGTAATTGTTTAAAGCCCAGTGCGCGTTAAGCTGAATTAAATCAATATATTTATATTAATCAATTAATTAATCAAACATCGACAGAATAATTAAGCATTACATAAAAAAAGTAAGTAACTAATGATTGAGCGTAACCGAGAATATTTGATTTAGAATTTGTGTCTATGTTGTTTTAATTGAGAGTTCTATTTACTGAGTAGCATTCGTGATTGCACAAAGCAAGCTTATGAACACTTATTAATCAGCGTTTTGTAGCAGAAGTTTATTTATTTTCTTTCTTAACAAATTACAGAGTAGAGCGTCAGCAAACTAGCCTGAGCGGTAATAACGCTGGTAATTAAGGCTATGTTTAAGTTCCAGTGCATTGGGAAGTACAAGTAGATAAACTTGACACAGCCTAGTTGTCACCAGTAAGCTTAATTCAAGTGTAACTGATTCAATATACTTGTTTCTTTTTTTTATTATATTTTTAGTTATAAATTGCCTCGTAGTTGCGTACAGCAGCAGCTAAAACCCTTGACTCAAGTTAGGAAGCTCAAACTTCAACAGGTTTCATCAACTTTGTTACTTCTGTTAGGTTTTGTTAATTTTTTTTTTTTTTTTCATAATTTCTTTTAATTGGTTCAAGGACTTGGGAATATTGCCACAAGTTTATCGGATAGAGCACTTTATTTTTTTACACCTTTTACTTTCAAAATGCTAAACAAACTTTAACTTGTTAATTCAAGGGAAAGATATGTCCGCTTTTGTTTTTTGTTATCATTCTGTTCAAAACTTTTCATGTCAATTATTTAAAAATAGAGTTCAAAAATAAAAAAAAAAAAAAATATTCAATTAAAAATTTAGAATTTAAATCGCCTAGAAAATTTTAAATCTAATCGTCGATTAGCGAAGACTTCACTTAAATTTTAATCAACTAATTTTTAATTTATTTATTCCTATATTTATTAATTTAAATTTAAATATACTTATATATAGAGTAATAATAATTAAAATTATAATAAGTTTTTCTATTTACAGGCTAAATTAGGGCACGGATGAACTCGTCCGTTTTATCCTTTTCCGTCTAGAATTGTTATCATTTTCTTCTTATCTAGTTTCATCATGACTTAGTGCGTTTGAATAAAAAGTTTTTTTTTTAATTTTTAAAACAAAAAAGAAGAAGCAAGTTCATTTTTTTTTTTTTGATTTAAATAATTATTGGAAGTAAGATTTTTAATATAATAATAATAATAATAATAATAATAATAATAATAATAATAATAAAACATGACAAAGACATCTTACATTCTTGTAACCACACAGCCAAGTACATACACATTTAATTAATGACACAAGTTATTAATTTAAAAGTAAAATATCGGAGCGTAATTAAAAAAAATTAACAGAATAAAAAAATAAAATAATATTTAAAATTTTGGATTATCCACTCAAATATCACTTTATCATTTTTAATTAGTGTAATGTCTATAAATATGTACATGAGTAATTTACAGAGTACTCGACTATTACGTCCAATAACCATCCTTATAATCTTTCCCTTTTTTATTTTTTTATTTATTATTAATAATTATAATTATTAATAAAAAAAAAAAAAACGAGACTAACCATCGGTACTTGTTATAAATTTAAAAGTTCGATAGTGGCGTTTGATTTAGTAAATGCTGTACAGGAAAATTTACCATTTAGTTTAAAAACTGTTCCATTCTCTATTTAAATATAGTCATTATTTATTTTAGTTCTATTTTCATCAATAACAATATTTTTTTTTTCGTTCTATTTTTCATTTAAATTTGTCAAATAATCATCATCATTATCACCTAAATTTAAGTGAATCAACAAGTCTTTATTAATACTACTGATTGATAATTTATTATCGAGTAGTAAAAAAAAATCGGCGTTGTTGAGAGAAACGCGAAAGACCTCGACCCATAGCAATGACTAGTTTAAACATTTTAGCTTTTAGTTTTAACTTCTGTGTAATTCACATTCTATTTATTATGTAATATAAGTTAATCAATCAATCAATCAATCAATAAATTACCTGACTCGTTACACGTGCTAGGAAGACATTCCAGCATTTCTTGGACGGTTGTAAACATTTTTTAAATTATTTATGTTACTTTTAAAATAATAAAATATTTAACTTTAAAATTCAAATAATCAAATCACAAATATTTTTATTTATAAAAAATCACGATAAAAATTCATTCGATGTCGCGAGTTTTATTAATAAATAATTACTCAAAAATTTTAATTTATCACTTGGTAATTAAAGCATTTGTCATGTATTTAAAAAAAAAAGTAATAATTGATAATTAAAAATTGAAAATTGATAACAAACAAGTGTATAATATTAATAATCTCAAATTTATTTTCAATCAGTATTATTTGTTTATGTATCAGTCATATGAATAAATAATATCATTTTAATTGATCATAACCATAACTATTTTAATTAAATTTATTAATGATTAATAATAAATGTATATATATGTATATTTATAAATATTTATACGTAGTAATTATTATTGTATGATCGTTGGTTAGTCACATTACTCTCAACGTTCCTGATCTTGCTCGATTCGCTACGACATACAAATATAAATATATACATATTTAATATTTATATGTATATCATGTTATACATATATATCGTATAATAATCATGCAAATTGAATAATAATAATAAAAACAATTATTTAATCGAAAATGAATGAATTAATTCAACGAGTATAAAAAATTGTCATTATTTTTTTAAATTACCTTCAAATTTTATTTAATATAATAATCTTATTGACGATTTTATTTTATTTCAAATATCTTATGTATGATTATTATAATTAATATTTATTTATTATTTCGTGACGGCTCAGGAGCCCTAGCTAGCCTACGAAACTTATGCATTACAATACAATACAATACAATTTTTATTACTACTTGCACTTATGTACACGCAATGTACTAACACGTTTGTTAGCACCGTGTATTTCGTAAGTGTTCTGTGTATAAATAATATAATATATTTATTTATATTTTTTTTTATATATATATATATATATATATTTATTTATATTTTTTATTATTTATATTTATATTTATGTGTATGTATATATTTATATATTTAATAATTTTATTTTACTTATACTTTTATTTATATCCGCTCTTGAGGAACAAAACTTGTAACGTTTGAGAAAATTCTATTTGTGATCGAGGATTTATCGAATGTGTTTTTCACTGGGATAAAACAACAAATCCCGGAAGCATTTATTTTAATTTTAATATAAAAAAATTTAACATAACTTTGATTTTTTTTTTTTCATTTTTATATTACTAAAAACAAATTTATGAATTTTATTTCTTACAACAACCAAATATAATTAGTGAGTATTTTTTTATAAATTTTTTAACATTAAATTAACAGTAATTTGACTGGATTTTGTTCGATTTTTTGTATTATAATTAGTAACACAATAGTAATTAATAATAATAATTTATAAACAATGTTAAAAATAACAAAACAAAAATGATAAATACTTTTGTTTCTTAAATCTAGTGGCCGGGTTCAGTTTAGGTCTGAAAATTGCACAGACAGTTAAAACTAATCGAATCCATTGAAATAATTATTAATTTAACATTAAATAATAACTAATAATATCAGAAAAAAATTATGCATAAAATTAATTATTGTCATCTGTCGATGATGGATTAAAAAAAAATTAATAAAAATGATAAATTCCAATGGCTTCGTATAATAATAAAACTGCACTGCATAACTTAAAATACTTGTAACAAAATAATAAAAATAAAATAGTCATGTCTCATCTGCGTTATGCCTATATAAATGTTTAAAACTAAGTTGTCTATGTAACAGCACCAGAATTACACAGTCGAGCTATATAAACATTATTTTTATTATTTTAATCAATTAATTAATTAATAATTATTTTATTTTATTTTTTTCTGCTGACGGATTTAGGTGTTCAAGGGGTGTGTATCTTAGGCCATCGTATCCCGGTATTGCATTGAAGATAGAAGATCAATTTTGATGAAGAGCTCGTGTTGTTTTAGGAGGATCTCTGTAGATTGGTATGGGTCCTCAATTCCTTGTACAACGGCATCATCTTCTCGTCGAGTGTGTGTGTAGCCAGTCACTCACTTAATTCGTTCCTCACGCCAAAGTGTACCGACTTGTGTAACATGTAGCGTGTATATTGTATGTATTATGTTATATACTGTGTCTAGTAATATTAATAACTTGTAGTAGTATTTTAGTATTAATAGTTGTAATAGTAGTAGTAGTAGTATAAGTATTAGGAGTAGGAGTAGGAGTAGGAGGAGTAGTAGTAGTTGAAGTAGACGTAGACGTAGTAGTGTAGACTAGGAGCTTGAGGAAGCGCTGATAGCCATCAAGGGTGCCGGCGGCAATGCCACCGGTATGTGGTAATATTTACACTGGGGCCGCATACAGGCACCTTTTACCGCGTCTCTGCACACGGTCACGCGGTTATCCACCACCTCCACATTTCCTGAAACCAACAGACATCAGATAACACCTGATTAAACATTACACCAACTATTATTAAATTTTAAGAGTACATGTTTTGTTTTTAATCATTAATTTACTTTCTTTAATTTTATCCTGTTTTTTTTTTTTTTTTTTTTTTTTTTTTTTTTTTATGATAGCGAAAGTAACATGTGTACGTAATAGATCATTTTTCAAGATTAATATTATATTTAAGAGATTTAAAATTTTCTAAATTTAAATTATTTTTTATAAAAGCTTAATTATTTTTTTTACTGAATTTTCAAGTCTATGATATTCAAAAATTTTAATTAATTATTATTCTAGATTTCACAATCCTGAATACGATAAAAATTGGCTCAATTAAGAATCATTGAAATGAGAAAAAAATTAAATATTAAAATGGTGACTTTTTGAGGTGTGCATTTAAAAAATTACACATAAAAAAGGTTTTAAAGATTTTTTTCTGAAAAAAATTAATTGTAATTATTGACCCAGAAAATAATTATAATGTTTTATTATTTTCAATTGAAATTATTGCTAAGTGAGAGAAATAAAATGATACTAAAGTTAGCCGACACTTTTAATAATTAAATAAGAACAAAAAAAATATTTTTAAAAAATTGCACTTACAGTTTTTAAAGTTTTTTTTACAAATGATATTTTTTTTTTCTTATTGTTTATAGTCAATTTTTTGAATAAAAAAATTTTCAAGTGTCGGCTAACTTAATTTCATGAAATAAATGTAAAACATACCGTCATGGAGATGAATGAATTTACAGGCGGGACGGTTGCACAGTTGTCGATTAAAATCTTGGCACACCGGGAGGGTGTCCAGTAACTGAAAGAAAATATTCCGGTATCTGTATACGTACTGTTCTGTCATAAATAATCTAAAGGAATTATTAGTTATAAAAAGATACAATGAACAAAGAAAAAAAAAATAACTATAATATATAGAGAAGTTATGAAAATAAAATAAGGAAATTCATAAAATGACACTTGTACACACACGCACACACTGTTCACAATCTCATACTCTGACATACTATATCCGGTTTAATAGAGCATGTAAAACATAATACATTACATGCTCTATAAAATGGATTGAACGTAAATATTAAGAGGTACTTAATAGCTAATATGATACACGAGTAGTTGAAAGTATTTTGCGATAAGCACATTCCAATTATTTTATTTTTCACTTTAGTGAAATTTTATTTATAGATATTGCAATTTTTTTTCTTAACTTTTTAACTCGCAAGTTTTTTATGTCAGCTTCCTCTACTCGTGTATTCTTATTATATTTAAATTTTATTTATTATGTAAAATTTGCAGTAGAACGTTATTATTATAAACTTATTTTTTGTTTTTAAAAAACAGGGAAACCCTACCGCTCGTATCGTGTTTCAAATTAATTAGCAAGCTAACCTTGCGCAGTGTATAGAACAAAAATGTTTTATTTTTCATTAAAACAAAGGGCTGTTGTATATTATTTTAAAAAAAATTTATAATTTTAATGGCCCATAGCTGATTACAATACGTATTTAAAACATTCTCAATACATTTAGTGCAAGGGACGTGCCTATATAAAAGAGGATCCTAATTTATTCGCAAATTTAAATTTATATTTTTAATTTTATTTATTTATCTACTGTAAGAATATTTAAAAATAATATTTGCGAATTGTAAGCCCTCTCCTCAGTGGGCCATTATTAATTTCAATGACTAGACTTTATAACTTAAGTTAAAAAATAATAATTAATTATTTTTCACTTTCGCAAGTTACTTTTTTCATTATTTGTTATTTTTAAGGTAATTTTAATTTACAATAAACATCATATCATCTTTATTACAATCTGCAAAAAAAATTTTATGGTTTTGTGTGAGTCGTGTACCGAAAACTACATATTTATACGCTTTGACTAAAAATTACGCACGAATACATGCACTCCGGTAGCGAAAAATAATAATATAGTATAATGATAATCAAGTTTATAAGATGCTTTAAATAATATATATATATATATATCTATATATATGTAAAGTGAAGTAATGTAATGTAAATGTAAATGCATAAACTTTTAAATAAAATACGCGTATAAAATACTATTAATATTAATACAGTAATAAATGTGAGCACAAATACACACACGAACACGCGTGTCTAATTGTAATAGTAATAAATGAAAAAAAAAATTAGTTTTAATTATAATAATAATAATTAATAATTATAATCATAATAGTAATAATTGAAAAACTGTTACAATGAATGATAATTCAGCGAGTAGATTATAAACATCCAATTAAATAGATGAAAATCGTGTTAGCAAAAAACGTTAGGTAAAGCATTATACAACCTACCAAATATTTAATCAATTAATTATTACTAATTGCGAGTAATCAAGGACGTGTAGTTATATATTTATACATACATATATATCAACATTAATTATAATAATAATTAAAATCATAATAATGATAATGATAAAAAATAAAAAATAAATTTAAAAACTAGAATATATGTATGTAATGAATTATAACGCGCAGAAAGGTAACTAGGCTCACCATTTAAGCGTGCAAATAAAATATAAAAGTAATTAATACATTATTATTTAATGTAAATTATAATAATAATAATAATAATAATAATAATAGTAATAATAAATGTAACGTAAGTAATAGAAAAGAAAATATAAATGTGACTCGCAAATGTTAAAACCGTGTTTAATATATCAAAATATCAATATCACTATTTATATATAATATATATATATATATGTATATAATATAATATATAAATATATATATCCTCCGGCGTACGTATAAAAGGAGGTATTGGGTTTTATAACAAATATATAAATGTAAGTAAGTAAGTACTTAATATATATGATGCGTATAATAGAAATTCTGGCAAATTGCTTCAAGATATGTATATATTTATATATAATTTGCTACGAACACAGAGTCTTGTCATGCAAATATAAATGGCCCGGGAGAAGGGGGCTTTGGTGCTTGGGTGATTAACGGTGCATTAACAATTTATTACCGGTAAACAAATATATAAGCGTCTTTATTGTGATAGATAAATATTATTGTTATTATTAATATTTATGTATTGTGTTAATTATAATTCATAAATCATAGTAATTTAACTCTCAAGGCACACAATAGGACAAAAATTTTGTTTTACTTCAACACAATTCTAATTCAAAAAAATTAAAAATTTGCTAATTCAACTCAAAATTTATGATAAAAAGTACATTATTTTATTTACAAAAATATTTCAATTGTGAGTGTGTACTCCGAGGGCTAAATTAAAGACTAATTACACATATTTTAATTAAAACACTTTTCAGTATATTACGACTGTGACAAACAATAGCGAATAATAAATAGTGTATGTATTTATATTTAAAACAATAAATAATATATCTAGATTGTAAATAAATAAAACAGATAACAACTTGTGGCCATTTCAGAGTGACGGATGGCGTTTATTTTTATTTTTTTATAAGTAAACGTTATGTTGGTTTTATTTGGCACACGTCACCCAAGCATTTTTAGTTATCGCCAAACGCTAACTACCGCCAATTGATTCGTATACGTCAATTTTATTTAAACACTCACATTGACCCTAATTTTTTTATGTACTTAGGTTTTTATAAATTTAATTTACTTTAAAAATAATTATAGATATTTCATTTTTCAAATATTTATACTGAAAAATATTAAGAATACCTGGGCTGTATAATATTTACTTTACGCAACAAACCAAAGACAGATAAGTTAGCGGGAATTGGCGTGATACGAAAGATGAGGGAAATCGTAAGCTGTCAAATTAATACACGTGTATATATATTTCATTTCATTAAAAAAACAAAATATGTATACATGGGTATATTCTACTGCAAATAAGTTCAACACTATATTTCAACTGCGATCTCCGCAACCATAACAGCAATACAGCCAATTTTAATAATTAATAATTAATAAAAAGTAGTACATATGCCTTATATCAATAGTATCGAAGTTCCGAAAGCTATAATATTAAATAGTATATTTTAATTTAATATATTTATTATATACTTGTGTGTCATTGAAATAAAGTTTAATATTGTTTCTAGTATAAAGTAAATGAAAAATAAAAATATAATACACAAAGTTTAAATCGCGTGCGTGCAAATGCGATTCGTTTAGCATTCACTGCTTTCTTTCAATCATAATTAAATTACATAATTATCAATCACGATTTACAATATAATTTGTAGTAATAATAATATTAAAAAAAAATTTTTCTAAAATTTAAACTAAATTAATAATAATAATAAAAAGTATAAATAATATGCGTAAAAGCTGACTACGAAAGCAAAAGTAATAATGCACGATGCGATATTTTTAATAATATTCATACTTGCGCCATTATATATTTATGACAGCAAAATCGCGTGATAGCTACGTTTTGTTATCTTTTGTTTTTATTGTTTCAATGACAATAATCCTCGATCGCTAAGCCGAGAAAAAATGATAAAAATGTAACATTACGTCCTCGTAAAAAATGATAAATAAAATGTCTAAGTAACATAATTATTCATAACACTATCGATTGTTTATGTTAAGCGATAAATTACTGATATACTACTAATATTAACTATAACCGAAGACAAATATTAATTAATAATATATGTAATTAAAATATACTAACGAAGTAAAATTTATACAAGCTTGCTACAATTGAATTTTCGATATCCTCAGGCTTTTTAGAGTTAATGTCAAATTATAGTTCAATAATCACGATTGTAACTATAATTATCGTTACATCTATTATTATAATTATTATTATTTTATAATAATAATAATAATAATAATAATAATAATAATAATTATAATAATAATTGCATTTATGATAATAGACAAACACCAGGTAATATGCAGTGGTTATTCGCAGTTATAGTTGCGGTGAGCAGTCGTGAGGGAGACGCCCCCAAAAGCTACGTGTTAGCTGAGGTTAATGAGGACTAAAGACAATTGTTTAAATATAAACAAATAAGCAAATTTAGTGAATAATTGAGTGAAATATTTCGATCAATAAATAAAATTGCCCTTTATCCTCTTTATCCTCAAAGGTTAGCAGCATTAACATATCAGGCCTGTATTATTCAAATCAAATCCGTAATTAAATGTAATAACAATAAAGAAGACGCATGTAATAGTGACAAGTAATAATTAAGTGGTTGGAGTAGTAAATAAAGAAAGATTAAAATTGAAAACAAAAAACAAAGAAAGTGATACAAAAAATTATTATGTAAATATTTATGGTTGATAATAAGAGGGAACTTAATACGGATTTTGAGAGTATAATAATAAAGACCTGATGTAGGGTAAAAACTGGTTACAATAATGAGTCTACCTGTCCGCAGCTGTCTGTGTAGACGACACAGTGAGCGTTTTGAGGGACCACATGGGCCCCGACAGTGGCTAAGGCTGCTAAGGCGATCCACATGCAGCAAACGAGGCAGTGTTCGTACGATTTTTTTTCATTATATTGATTTTTATTTTATTATTTATTTATGTTTTTTTTTTTTTTTTTTTGGTACCATCAGAATAGCAAATTCAGTACAGAACGCACCAAATCAAAGGGAGGAGCAAGTTTGATGTCCCCTCCAGGCCACCCAGGTACATGTCCGAATAATTTGAAACGTGGCAGCAATTACAACAGGCGTGTAGAAACAATACGAAAGTTTACAATTTAATATTCAAGCGTTTAATTATATTTTATATATATTAAATAAATTTAAATTATAATAAATTATATTAAAATGCGTACATCAATAATAATTATTGGCCAATGTTCAGTTGGTTTTTAGGCCAATTTTTTTTTTTAGGTATTTAGTTAAATTTTTTTAGGTCGAGTCATAAAAGATTTTTGTATCAACGGGCAATTATTTACCAAGTTTGTAAATAAATGTAAAATAATGTTTTTTTTTTTTTTATGACAATTTGTGGTAAATAGTTGACCGATAGCGGACGCCAATTGGTGTGAAACAATTAATTGATTTAATTGAATTGAATTGAATTTAATTGAACAAGCAAATTTTACGCGGAGTTAATTAATTACCGAAATTAAAATGCCAATTTGTTTGGTTTTATAAATAAAGTATTAGTGATGACGCGTTTAAAATAATTGGTTGTAATTATTTGAGTAGAAAAAACCAAGTGCAGACCATCAGTTGGCGATCCAGCGTGTCGTCGTGAGAGATGACGGGCCCAACACCAAAAATTTAATTATTTCGTTCATGACAATCAGGCAGAAATAGAAGAATAAATGTTTATATTCAATATAACAACAACGATAATAATAATAGTAACAATAATAATAATAATAGTAATAATAATAATAATAATTATATATAATAATAATAGTAATGATAATGATAATAGTAAAAAAAAAGTAAAAAAAAAATAATAATTGTAATGATAATCATAATAATATAATAATTATAATAGTAATAGAAAAAAAAATTTTTTTAAACAAAAACAATAATAATAATGTAGTAAAATAGTAATGAATGTTTTTTTTTGGTATGTATAAGTAGCAATGCAAAAGTACGATGTAAAATTAAATCACGCAGATATAATTGATCAATTTGCGGCAGTGAATGCAGCATTTGGTGGATATATTGCGTAGTGCAAATTCATTTATAATTATTATTATAATTTATCACGAGTAAATATAAATCCACAATCGCCATATGATAGAAGAGCATTAAGATTTATAATTAATTTGTTATTTATGTATTTGTTTTTAAATTATTATTTAAAAGAATAAATAAAGTGAGTTACCGATAGTTTATGGATCGGGTGATGTCGGATTTTTTTATTGGACAGGAGCAAGTCAGGATAGGCAGGGTTGCGATAGGAGAGCATTCCAGTGTAATTTAAAAATATATTATTTTTTAGGAAGTGTTGGTTCAGTTCAAAGACGTGCGGCGAATCCAGGCGAAGGCAAGCATGAAACAGAAAGTTCAAAGAGAGATCATGAACGGATTTGAGTAACATGCACCACTAAAATAAATAAATAAATTTTAAATAACAAAATATATATTAAATTAAATTAAACTATGAGTTGCATTAGGAAATTGGTGTTTTAATTTGCTTGCTTGCACATCAGCTTTACAAAATTATTTTAATATTGATATTAATATATGGACGAATAAAATGTTAATAAGAGTAATGCGATAGCTGTTATGCAAACACGTGAGCTTTAAAACGAAAATATAAAGTAATTATACTTAAATTAATGGCATTAATTATATAAATAACTTGCAAACGCAAAGATTAATTTAACAGTAGTGATAATAATATAAATTATGAAGGAATAAAAGTAATGTTGCGTGTTTAAAAAACTATGATTTACAAATGGTTTGTGTCGCACATGCTCTAGTTTTTTAAAAAAATTTATAAGTTGATGTTTGATATATGCATTCTTGTGGATCTTGAGTAAATTACCAAGAGTTGAGTATAAGTGAAATAAAAGAGTAGAGGTAGAGTGTAATGATAATAATAAAAAAAAAAAAGAAAAAAAAATAATGAAAAGAAGTGAAATAAAAATCAGGAGAGAACAACAGCTTAGTAAAGTAGCAATTTATCACGCTAAGAAATAGCTATTTCACTTGAACTCGGTACTCGCTCACTTGGATATTTTGAAAGTAGCATAGGGCGATGTTACGATCTACTACGGACTCCGGATGGAATCACAACTTCTGTTTGTCCAGTCAGCGTCCGATGTACCTTTTAAAGCCTGGATGCGGCAAAGCTGTAACAACTTACTTGCTATGCAGAGCTTTTTACTTTTTAGTGTCCAGGAAAAGAAATAGTGTGCATATATATTTTTCAAGTGATTGCTAATAAATTGCGACAAAACACACACATATATATATATATATATATATTGTATTTTATATGCTATATATATTTAGTTTTTGCTTTTTTTTATACTAGCTGGATAATACAAAAATATTTATCTTTCTCCAACGATGTTTTTTTCTCTTCACTTGAAATTTTTTTTTATATGTATGTGTATAGTAGTATAAATATTCAACTAGTGCAAATAATGATGCGTCATATTTATATATGAGACGGCTGAAGCATTAATATAGGTTTTACAAATATAAATGATGCACGTGGCGTATCTCGTGCATTTAATATATATTCTACAGCAGAATAACAATTTTATAAGCCAGTTAAAAAGGAGAAGGAAATATTTCATTGTACCACCGATGTTACCATTAATTTTATAAATTTAATTACTTTTTTGTTAATGTAACAATCCATACATCTAGTAATTTATTAAGTATTATATAATTTTTTTTTCTTAATACGGCGATTGTTTGTATGATTAATTTAATTTAATAAAATAAAAAAAAAAATAATCCAGTGGTCTTTGATTTTCTTGTCTGATTTTGATCCCTCGTACCATGAAGTTTCGCATCTAAAGCGCTGAAAAGCCTTGGAAAGGAACCAGAGACAGGAGATAGTGGTGCAAGGGGCAGTTTAGCACACAATCACTAGCGAACTCAAAGGTTCTGATAAATTTTAACTTGAGCTTTTCTCGGTGGTACTCGTGATGTATACATATATATTAATACATATATACATGTATATATATTAAAAGCAACTAATATTAACTATAGAATTAAAAGAAGACTTTGTACGTGAATTTACAATGGACATTGCAGATGTTGATGTACAAATTGATTTATTCGTTATCTGTATAAATATTCATACAATATAAGATTATTTACTTTTATAAATTCGAATAAACTCATCTTCCACAAAAAGATCTTTTTAATTTTTCATTTAAATTAACAATTTGTACATTTCAAAGGACACGAGACTTTTGATCAGCAACTCCAACACTTTTACAGCGGGAGATAAATTCAAGCAAAGTCTAATTATTTTCTATTTTGTTTAAAAAAAAAAAAAGGATTTTTCTTTTCAAGGAAGCAGGAAGCGACAAGGTTTTATAAAAGGCTATTAGCAAAAGACGCAGTATTGATTATACGAATATAATAATAATAAAAATAAACATTACAGAAATATTTAGCTTGACGGGTTGTTTTTTTTTTTGTTGTTTTTGTTGTCGTTTAATAGATAATAGATAATGAAATAAGAATAAGCATTAATAAAAACAAATAATTTCATGCATTTTTTTCAAGCATTATTATTACAATTACTGGCTGAATCCTGACGAAACCCCACGAGCGTGCATGCGCAAAAAAACGCATTCGATTTCTCGATTTAATATTTTTATTTATATTTTTATTTTAATAAAATATTTCATCACGATAAATTAAATAATTATTCAATTTTATGGTAAAATATTAAATATGACTCTTGTACACGACTAATTATGTCATTAACGTATTACACTTGATTAAAATACAGTCTGAGATATATATACGTGTAATTATCGATATAATAATATATATACTCTATATAATACGCGAATTATTTAAACACGTCGACGAACGCGTGAAAATTATATATATATATATTTATATGCGTGAATGTGTGTAGTAAGTGTTTATCCAATGATTTACATCAAGAGTTAGAAATGGTACAGTATACAATATTATTAATTTTTAGTACCTTTTGTTGTAATTTTAATCGTTATCATTATCAATTTATATATTATATAATTTTATGATAAATAATGTGTATATATTGTTATATATATTCAATTTTTGTTTTGTATTTCATTTTAATTTTAGTCATTAATTATCAATCAAAACTCCAGTATTTTCTATCTATATATATTTCTTCATAATTTTATATTTTTAATAAAGTATGTTTATTTTTCGTTGCACGCAACTTATATGCAACAATAATATTGCGCAAGTATTTGTGTATATATATATATATATATATATATATATATATATATATATATTTGTTTTTAATTTGTATATAAATTTAATATATAATAATAATAAGAATAATAATAAAGAATAATAATAATATTAGGCATATTTTATATAATAAGTAGTGTACTTTGTAATTATAAATATTTAAATATTTTTTTAGTTTAAAATCTTTCTTTCCACTCATTTTAGATCTTATGGTGTTCCTATTACGGTGCAGTGGATTATTAGTGCAAAGGAAGGCACTTCCGCTGTAATTAACCGAACTGGCGCCCAAGACCTTAAAGCTAATTTTTATTTAAAATTTTGGTTTTTTAACGATATAAAAACTCTTCAGCAATAACATAATAATTATAATAATTTAGTAATAATAATTAAAAATAATATTTTACTAAAAAAATTATCTAAGCCAAAATATCAATAATTATAAAAACAAATAATTTTTTTAAAATTGCATGAAATCACGACTAAATTAATTTTTCTAGGCCTTGGGCTTTGACAATTCGAACCAGCCAACATCTTGTTGATCTTATTCTTATAATTTTATATTTCAATAATTAATATATGCTTTAATTAAATAGTCTCTAATTGTTTTTTACTTGAATATTTAATTTAAATGAATTCTACGTTACCGATTTGCAAGCTAATTGTAATAATAATAATTTTATTTAAGTGTCAAAAACTTTATCAATATTGGCTTTGGCGCAGCAATAGGCCTTTTTATTTTTAATCAATCGAAAAGTGTAACTACAAATACATTTTATCGCCATTACCTTAAAAACTTTTAGTTTTTTTTTCTTTTTCTTTTTTTTTTCGTTTATAATATCTAATATTAATATTAGTATTAGTATATTACTAACTTTTAAATATTTTGTGTGCTTAGGGCAATAATATGTATATATTTATACAAACTATACTATCACAATGGACGGCCCTAGTAAATATATCCTTTGTAAAGAAAAAAAATGGTTCCTTTGGTTACTTTAAAAATTTATCAATAATTATAGTAAAATGTTTATCATTTTTTTGAATAATAGTATTTATAAAAAATTGTTTTTCATAATCTGACTATTATAATATCTGTTACAACTGACTAAATTAAAAAAAATAAATCTATGCGGTGAAATACAAACCGCTTTTAACTGGAAGACTTCCGGCGTTATTTTTAGGCTTTTTTTTTTATTCCGCGGCGCGTGAGTAAATAACAAAGTCCGGTTAGAAATAGTATCCGTCATTTTTCTTCACATTTTATGTAATATAATAATAATAATGATAATAATAATAATAAATATTTTTTTAAACATTGTAATTACTACTATTTCTTTTTATTACTTATTAAATATATTCTTTCTCTATTTAATTAAATTGTTTTGTGCAAGTGTGCGTGGACCGCTGTATTCTCAGGAGCCATTTTTAATCTTGTAAAGGATCAAAGAACTCGGAGGATTAAGAATGCAAGAGTTGAGATATTTTTGCTTCATTAAAATTTTATTTTTAATTTACCAAAGGCAATATTCTTTATCATTCTCATTATTATTATTATAATAATAATAATTATCATCCAAGTAGAATTATTAATATAAATCTTACTCGAAGGAAAATTAATGAATTTATAAATTTTCTCATTATTAATTCCCGCAATGTAAACCTCTGAGCACTTTGATTCAAAATAATCTTTTTTTTTGACCGTCTTAGGACCTAATTTATTACCATACAATTCTAACTAATATATTTATTATTTCCTACATACAGTACGCCATTAATTTATATCTCAATACATCGACAGAAAAACTCTATCAATGATCGAGATTAATATATTAATTTATAATAATATTTTTAAAACTTATTACTCTTCATCTAATTATATTACTTTTGTTTTAAATATAATAATATATAAATTTACATTGTATTATTATATTATCATTTCCTTTATATATCAATTCGAAAAGTATTCAAATCACTGGCAAGTATTTTTTAAATATTAATATTATCATTCTTCATATCATAGATTTTTATATAATATATACCTGCGCTATAATATTACTTCAGCGCAGATATGTACAAGCGTATAAAAAAAACGCACATTGTTGTTATCCTGCATCGTTTAGGCATCCATACGCTTATCTAATTTTATTAATTATCGATTATTTATTATTAATTACTTGCACTCTTATTATTTGTTTATATCGCACTCGTTCTACTATTCTTCTTTATTAGTTACCCTTGAAGAAATACATGTACTCACAAAAATACAATACATTAATTATCGCCTTCTTTTTTTAGTAATTATTAATTTTTTTAATAATATTTATCATTAGTTATTCATTGAATTCGTTCATCTGCCTGTTCAGCATCTTCTTTATTTCCCCAAACGTTATTACTCATTATCGTTACGACGGTTCATATACAATGCTTGTTTTTTTGTTTTTTATATTTATTCTAAAGAGTGGATTTATAATAAAACGCTTATATCTTTTTATCTGCAGCAGGCGTTAACTCTGGCATTTAAAATTTTATTATATTAATTAATCGTACTATATCACACGCTGGTTTTTATCCTTTAAATTCATTTAAACCCCGAGCGCAATGATTACGATTTTTTTACATGGAACTCTCCCTAATTGTTGGTTTTTAGTATCGAATATTTTGTGTTTTAAATAAAAAGTTAAACTTAGCTTTTAACGTCAACAAATATTATCATTTTTATCTAATTTTAACTTATTTAAATATTAATAATTAATTAATAATTGTTAAACAATAAAAAACGAATAGAATTTTTAAAAATAAATTTCGACATCAAGGTTTGACTTGTGTCTTTGGACAAGTTGCATATAATAAAAACATGATTATATATATATGTATATTTTAAATATCCAAAATATTCAATTAAAACTACCAATGCAATAAACCAAAATAATTATCTAAATTTAACATTAATTTTAATGATCGATGCATTCTATACCGTCAATTTACAATGATCATTAATAACATTCACCATAAAAAATAATTGTAATAATAATAATAATAATAATAATAACTAAATCGATAAAAACGTTTAAAATTATATTGAATAGTTTGTTTAGATAATAATCACTAAAGTAGATACTACATAAATAACAAACAACCGTATTTAATTAAAGATAAAACAGTTAAATTAAAAGTCAAAAGACGACGTTAACGGAAAATAATTAAAAGACATAAAATAAAAAAGTGACAGCCAGTCTTTAAAAACGTTAAATGATAAAAGATAACTGATAATAACTATTAGTTTAATCAATTAATAACAACAAAAGAAAAATAATGTAAAATTGTAAATATACAATACAATATATAGTAGTCTTATATATGTGTGTATGATGCATATTAATCAGTGGCGTAAATCAGATTATAAATATAATTATAATCCGTGGCATCGAATAATCAATAAGGCACTGTTCACTGACAATGTCTGACTAGAAAATCAAACTATTATAATTTTGAAACATTTTTTAATCGGTCAGTTTTATCGATTATCAGTCGCTTGCAATCTTTATCATTAAATCTCCGTTTAGTTTTTATATGATAAAAGTTTAAGTAGACAAACAAACAAACAGGCAATTTATAAGATTCCGCGCGTCTACTTCTTCTCTATCTCCGAAGATATTTTTATTTAAATTTTAGAGATCAAAACGCGCAGGATCGTCAATAATTAAAAATTAAAATGAGTGCGAGTGAACTAGACATTTGTTAATTTTAATAAAATAAAAATTCAAGTTCAAACAAAAACGTGCACTTATTTTTATCTTTACTTAAAAATTCTTTCATGTCTGCTTCACTCTCGCTCAAAAGTTGCAACAAAAAAAAAAACAAGACTACTAGAGATCTATTAAAATGAACAGGATGCTCAGCGATTAAAACCTATCAATAATTAATCTATATATCATTATTATTAATAATTACTTAAGTCAATATGCAATAATAAATTAATAAATTTATGTGGTTTTCATTTTCTTATAAGGCTGCATGATAACTCCCGAGCTAACAGGAATGGCAACCTGAGGCTGGGCTGCGATGGTAGCTGGATTACCGGCTTGTAATTGAGGAACCCCAGGTAAACCGGGACCAACCCCAGGCATGCCGTGAACCGCCATACCGGGCAACAGAGCGTAAGGATTCTGTAAATAGGGATTCGTGTGCTGCTGAAGAGCCGCAGTGCCTCCAGGCATCGATGTTTGCATGTAAGGCGACGGTAAAATAGGGTGTTGTCTTATCAAAGAGTAAGGATTTAGCCCTGCGGTGTTGGGTCTCGGATAGTGCAACAAACCGGCGGGGAGATTCGAGGCAAGGCCCGCAGTTCCGGGAATCCCGTGAGCTAGACCGTGCGGAAGCATTTGCCTGGATGCAGCGGCAGCCGCAGCAGCATTGTTAGCGGCAGCAGCGTGTACTGCAGCAGCAGCAGCGGCTCCGGACTGACTCATCGACAATGCCTGCTTGTTAAGTGCAACGCCGGTGTAGTTCAAAGCGTTCAGTGGGTTCATTCCGTACGGCTGGGCCGCCTGGGAGAGCTTTATTGCCTTTGCGTAGTTTTTCTGGGCAACTTCCTTCGCGAGAGTCGCTTGGTCCATGGCCGCGAAGCTGGTAGGGTTCATGCCCAAGGAATTCAGGACATTCAGGTGGGCCATGTTCGCCATCGTGTAATTGGCCATAGAGTTTACCTGGTGCTGTTGCTGCTGCATGTTTGCGATCGAGGCCTGGATCGAGTTTATGTTTGCCATCGACACCATGGCCGGCATCGACGAGTTAGTCAGATTGGTCATGCTAGGCATTGATGAGAGTACGGCTAGAGAGGACATTGGGTGGTTTATTGTTGCTGCTGTTGATGCAGAATGCACTGCTGCCATTTGGGGGACCTGGGTCGCTTGTGTGCTCGTGTGGTTCAATTCGGGAGAGTTCCGGGTATTATTTTCGTTATCATGGTTCGAGGCGGATATTTGTTTGGTTATATTAGTGCCATCGTTGGAGCCTAAGCCGCATCCGCCTCCGCCACCGCCACCTCCGCCTACGCTTGGTGGGGGCGGAGGAGGATTATTTGGGTCTACGAGAACGCCGTTTGTGTCGGCGTTGCTCGAGGACGACGCTTGTTGGGAGGACGGTATTGATATTGAGTTTTGCGAACTCGCGATTGACTGATTAGAGGGTTGGGGAAGGGGTGGTGTTCCAGCGTACTCACATGACACAGGCACGAAGGGCTGCGGCAACTGCATTAATTGTTGATAGGTCGTCGCGCCAGTTGCTTGATACACTGGCATTCCGGATTTGTCGCCCGCGGGACGCTTGTATGGTACCATTCCCGGAAAGGCCTGGAATCAACAAGTTTGGTTAAGGTGATTAAATGCTTTTTTTTTTTTTTTTTTTTTTTTCTATGCTATTTATTATACGGGCTTATTTATTTATAACCGAGATTTTTTACGGTGTTAAATACACATGGTGGAGCGTTTTCCTGCACTTCCGGATCGCTGCGACCGCTATTCAAATTTGGTCATATATACGGACCGTTTAAAGGTTTAAGTTTTTTTTTTGTTTGTTGATACTCCGTTTTGTTTTGTTAAAAAATACTTTGTAACGCCACGGACGCTCTATTTCAAAACAGTAACAGATACATTTTTTTGGTACTTTGTCAATATACTTTCTAGATAAAATTAACAACTGATACTAACAATATTGTTAATTATTTGCTAAAAAAATTTCGAGGATATTTTGTTTCATGAGGAACATAAAAAATATTGAAAAAAAAAAAAAAAAAATGTAAAAACATAAAACTTTAGATCGGATAAATTTTTAAAGATTGAGAATTGACTGTTACTATGTTTTAAAATAAAGCAACCGATAAAATTGTTAAAAAATTTTTGAAATATAAAAACGATACTTAGTTTATCAAAATTTTACAGAAAAAAAAGTAACAAAATAAAAATAAAATTAATTTGATTTGGATTTGTAAGAAGAAATAGTCGTAGCGCGGATTACATATATAAATAAATGGAATTATGATAAATAGTATAACCAATAATCATGTTGAATAGTTTTGAATCTTCACTTACAAAATTCTCGTAGTAGAATGATCCGAAGGACTTTGATTCCATCTGCAACAAAGACAGGATAGGTTTCAACGATTTTCGAGGACGTGGCAGACACGATTATTTTTCGTGCTTAAATACTTTGTTTTTGTTTGAATGTTATTTTGTTGTTCGTCGGAACAACCGGGAGGGGAGCAGTGGGTGCTAGTGCATACAAGTTGTGCCGATGACGCAGCTTGCGAAGACGTTCCCAAGAAACGAGGTTAACGTTGTTGTTGGACTAACTGTAAAATTTATTTGTATCTAGCCGTGAGTTATTACTACGGAAATATCGTCGTTTTAGCTTGTTCCTAGATAAGCCAAGTAAATTTAATAACAATTATCATTATTCTTCAGAAACAATACAAAACAAAAAATATATATATTTATATTTATATATATTTATCACGCCGTTCATTTTATTTAAACAAAATGAAAAACGATTGTGCAAAGCTAATGTTCTTTGAATGAGCAAATTTTTTTTTACTGACATTACGTTCAACCAATTAAATGTTAAAAAAAAAGCGCGAAATTGTGTACGATTAAAGCTGTGGCCTTTGAGGTATAATAATAAAAATAAATTGTAATGAAATAATTGAATGGAAACAAAGCGAGTATGCGAATTAAATTGTTTTTAGAGAAATAATTAAAAGAAGAAATATATTATTCAAGATAAATTATTGTTAAACAATGATAATAAATAATAATGATGTATTAACAAAATATAATGATAATTAAAATAAAATATTGAATAAAAGCAGCAAAATTTGTGATTACAAAACGCATAAATGCAAATGACGTGTGCAGCGAAATAAAATCTATCGGAGTATAATTCAATCGGAAGCTGCGGACAAGGTGCGAAAAGCTTTAAAGCCGATTATATTTACGGATCCTCATCTCTCTATTTATATTTAAGTTTTTTTTTTTTTATTATTTTTTAAAAACTCAATATCTGTGATTGAAAAAAAATTTCAGTTTTGTAAAATATTATTTCAAATTTTTTCAACCGTAAAAAATTCTTCTCTAAATAAATCCGCGGTTTTTAAAATATTTTATTGAAAAAAATGTATTCAAAATGATTGAATTCAATAATAGCAATAGTATTAATAATAATAATAATAATAATAATAATAATAATAATAATAATAATAATAAAATAATGAAATGATAAAATGAAACCTCATCTGACGGAATGTTATGTATAACAATTTGCTTTTTTGTGACGTCACTCTATGACAGTAATTTACTGTATATCAAGGAGAAAGTTAAAAGTCGAGTAACAATACTACTATTGATGTACTAATTAATTAATGATTAATTATATATTATATATAAATATAAGTAGATATTATATCTTGAGACAACAATGTCTTGGCATAGAAGTTGTCGACAGGATGACGTCGGTTGCACCGTCACCTTGGGCTCGAAAAAGCACAACATGCATCACCGGCGCAAGCTTGAAATTATTCACAAAACCTCATTCACGTTATTTCGCTATACTCATATGTACATATTTTCATATGAATACATATATGGGAACGAGTAGCGTGAATTAAAGTTTCAAACACATGTTACACTTTCTATTCCACTGTTAATAAATTTTATATTGCATGAGTTTTAAATATAATCATAAATCATAGTTCATATGATCGTTTATATGAAACAGTTGTAAATGAAAATGTAACGTATGCTAAAAGTAGAAGTTAAACATTTTTAGCTGTAGGATTTGCAAATAAGTTTTTTTTTATTTTTAGTCTTTTCAATTGCTGTTGTTTTGTTGGTATTTTATGATTTTACTTTTAACTTTTTTATTTTACAATGATAGCAGTTGGATATTTGAAAAAAAATTTTTAATGATTGAAAAGACTGATTTGTTGGCGTATAAATACAATGCGAGACGTAAAAGCTCTGGAAATGCGTAATAGTAATATAACAAGCAAAAATAATAGCCCGGATTTCAAAATTAAATGTATAATTTCCGAGTTAATTATAAAATAATCTTGTGCAGTCTAGTCGGAAAATTATATTAAGCAGTTTAAAAATTATAAATTAAAGTAATTTATAATTATAAATGAACTTTAAGAGCTAGAGCTCGAAGCGCACTCGGCAGTGTATTTACAGTCGCGTTTTTTATATTTAAAACTTAAAAATATGCTGGAATAAACAGCGAGCAATTACTGATAGAAAATATGTGAAAAATCCAAAATTAGTGCATCAAAAGAAAATTTTTAAAAATAAAATAGTGAAAGCTAATTTTAATTGTAAAATAAAATAATTGTGAAGAAAAGAGAGTGTAATTGCTCGTCGTTTAATCGAAAAAAGGAAGGTGTAGGTCATGCAAAAGCCGTGGTACCATTAGCAGATCATCATTGGTGTCGCGCATCCGCTTCTTTCCGAGCTCAATGCTCGCCATACTCGGGTTCTGAAGTCCTCCGGGTACAGCCGCTGCCGGCACTCCTGACACTCCACCAGCCATAGCGCCCATTCCCGGCACACTTGACGATAACGATCCAGCCTGGATATTGCCCATTATCCATTTGTTTCCAGGCGTCATACATTTATTTTTTTTTTTTTAATTGTAATTTTTTTTTGTATGTTTAATAATTTTTTTTTTTTTTTCCACAATAAAATGAATTTTTAGTGCAGCCGTTGCGTGGTTTATTTATTTATTCGCATGTGGCGGGCGGTGATCGGTCAGTCGTGCGTTTGAGATTGTTTTCGTCGGCAGTATTGTTTTCGCAGGCGTTAATTTTGGCAGGTAGCGAAGCGCACGAAGATTTGTATCAGCAAGCATGAAGCATCGTCAGCAAGAGGGCAAGATAAAAATCAAAAAAAGAAAAAAGAATAAGTTAAGGCTTTTAGGCAGAACATAGTTGTCGTAAACGTTTTTTACTCGTTTATTTATATTTTAAATAAATATTATTATTTTACTTATTCATCTAATAATGATAACAATAATGAGACTAAATTTTAATTATTACGATTAATGATGAATATTTTAAGTACAACAACAGAAAATTTAAATAAATAAATAATTAAAATAGCAATCTATTATAAAAAAAGCTCATCCGTGGCATCGACCCTCGTAGCAATCTAAAGATATTTATGTCTGAAAATAAATGCACTTGTCAAAAATTTAAATGCCTGGTTATCGCGTGACCAAGATCGCATTTACTGTAAATAGCTGTTACTTGTAATGATAATAATGATTGTGATTATTATTATAATATATCTATAACTATAACTATAATTAATTATCATATTGAAGTTTAAATAAACTACCAAGATGTAATCTATGGACTCATAAATAGATATATATATATATATATATTAATTAATGCGGCAATAAGTTTAAAATAGTTTAGCGTTGATACACCAGCACACCCTCGATTATTGATACTGCCCTCCTGCAATTAATTATAGCTTATTCTCCCATTAAATTAGCATGTATTCAGATTTAATTATTATGCATAAAATAATGACGAGCCGCTATTAAGTGAGCAAGTCCATCGAGTAGTTTCCAGCCAACTAGATAAAATTTTCAGTGTTAAATATTATTAATTAAAAGTTTACGAATTTTTATAATTTTAATTATAATAATAACAATAACAATAATAATTATTATTATTGTTATTAATATATAATATTTGTATAATTTCATTGCAGCTCAGCATACCCATGTATTTTCTGAAATAAAGTAAACTGGATGTTATGTAGTTAGTAGAGTACACAAGTTTGATTGACTCAAGTGAAAATTTGTTCAATAATTATTATTTAAATGATTATTTATTTTCTGATGTCTATTGCGTCTGTCGTTGCGAGTGTTTACACAGTATATAGTTAATAGTGTCGTGCCATTCATCAGGTGAACAATAGAGTGACATGTGCTTGTGCATATGCATGTGTGATTGTCGTTGAAAGTGTTTGATTATACATCTATGTGTTATGTTATCATGTGTAAGAGTAAGAGTTGGAGTGTATAAATGTGTCTGAGTATAGTAATGATTATGTGATGGATGTACTTAAGGATTACCGTATTTTACACGTGACAAACATCCAATTAAATGGTGCTACAACACCCAAGAGTGCACTGTCATAGTTTTTAATTTTTATGATAAATCAGTAACTTTATTAAAACAAATAACAATTTATCTTTTTTTTTTGCTTACATTTTTTTTTTTTTTAATTTTACTTAATCTTTAAGGCAATAATATTGTAATAGAGTTTTTAGGTTTATATGCACCCTTTGGTTGTTGAAAACCATCCGTAGAGAATGAGACTTCCCTGCCAACAAGCTGGACTGCCAGAATCCGTGCGCGATTTCTTCAGACGTGTCCGAGGAGGATGTGGGCTGGGTCATCGGTGCCGACGTTGCTGAAAATTTTTTGCTCTTCCGGTAGTAGTCGAGTGTCAAGAATGGGAAAAAACAGTTGAGATAATAGCAGCAAGTTAAGTATGTAGGGAACGAGATAAGAGAAACAGAGATAATCTGAGATTTAGAGATGTCGTTTGCAAATTTTAAATAAAAATATAATTTTAACTAAAGAAGACTAGAGGACTTTATATTAATAATAATAATAAATAAAAAAAAAACAACAGAATCTTTAAATCAAAGATAATAAATAAATTTAAAAGTTCCAGCGGTGTTTTATTGTTGATCGAGCTCTCGTTTCAACCAGTATTGAGCAGTTTCTTCAATTCGGTTACTGACGGACCAATAAATTCCAACGGGGCGCGTAATGCAAGTACGTTATTTAGCTCCAAGTAACTTTGTTTTTCATTTCATGCGATTAGATACTTTTTTTACTCAGTAGACATAAAGGATAATAATAGAAGATAAGATACAACAAATAAAAATGATAATTAAATTTTCAACGTAAATAAATGAACTTGAAAATAATAAATGGAAAGAAAATGAAACTAAAGTTTATTTGACAGAAGATCAGTTCCGAGGAGAAGAGATGCACGAGGTATATTGTAATCCTCGTTCGAATTAATGGAGTTTTCAGAGCTTTCCATGATCTCTTCTGGTCCGTTGATGTTGTAGTCGTCGACGTTGTTGTTGTTGTTGTTGTTGTTGTAGTTGTTGTTGTTGTTGAAAGAGAGCCGACAATAAAGTCGAATGTAATTCACGAGAACAGATCCTCGGACCTCCATTTACGAGCGTATGTTTTTTTAATTTTTTTTTTTGTATTAAAAATATTTTTTTTATTACTTTTTTTATTTTTATTTATGGATTTTTCATGTGAATTTTTTCCCATTTTTGCTTGACTCCGAGATTATTTCAAATACGAGTGTAGAGGCGCTTTGTGTTGGAGCAGCAAACAGCAGCAGGGTTGATAGCCGGGGTTCGTGCAGCACAGCTTGTCAGCAAGGTTGTGTTTTTATTTGTATCATTCATGATAGGTACTTTAACTACTACGTTTTATATACAATTTTATATCCATTCGTCGTTTCCACTTGACTCCAAGAAAAATTCACTCCCAAATATTTTACCGTTTTTTTTTTTTTAATTTTTTAATAAATAATTCAGTTAAAAGTTTAATTTGTTACTGTATTAATAAACTTGAGACATTACCGAGCTTATGTAAGTCATTATTTGTTATCAATATTAAATAATTTATCAATAAAAAAAAGGATTTCGTGGAAGTGAGTGAAAACGAAGCGACCGGATAAAACAACAAGGTATACGCATTATTTATTATCTAGGTAATCAATCAGGTGAAATTGGTGTATTGCAACTAGATATATATATATATTTATATATTTTATTTGCACCTGGATAGCTGCGATAGGCTGCTAGAAAGAGAGAAATAGAAACAGTGGTGTTGGTGATGATAAAAAAAAAACGATATTCGGGTATTTTTAACTACTCACTACATAACTACTTTAATGGCTTTACGTCAAACAGGATAGATTTACAAACACAAAAGCGAACGATCGAGAGGTCAGAATTTTTTATTTTATTTTATTTTAGTATAATGTTCGTTTTATTCTGACGTCTGTATCGAATGTAAAGAGCACGACTGCTGCGTTTGAATTTAATAATAATATTAACTATAATAATATGTACAAAAATTTCGTTTAGTATTTTTTTTTTTTTTTTTTTTTTTTTTTTTTTCGTTTAAAATTCTTTTTGTGTGAGTGTACACAATTCTGAATTGAGATGAAATGTTACGCAGTGGTCGAAGCTTCTTTAATGCAAAACCCAGCAAACCAGGAGAGGATGAAAGTGGATAAAAAAACTAAATATAAATAAAAATATTTTATGAAAGTTTTAAATCTCGCTACTGTCAATATAAAGAAAATCAATATTCAAGGCATTTTGCCTTTAGAATTTTTCAATAATCTTTGTTATTAAAAAAATATAAAAATAAAAATAAAAATCAACAGAGAATAAATACTTGAATGTATTAAAATCTATCGTTACTTTTTGTACTGTCAATTACTATAAATATCGAGTGAATTTAACGGACAGTTATATAAAAATAAAAATAAAAAAAAATCTGAATTTAATAAAAACTGAATAAAACGTTTTTTGGAGGGTCGGTTAACTAAAAAAGGATATTATTTAAATGAGGATATTTAATAATAATTATAACAATAAAGATTAAGGATTGAAAATAAAAATAATAGAGAAAGAAAGAAGAGAAGAGAGAGAATGCATTACCGCAATGCTAGCCCGAGATTGTGCGGCCTTAATGTGGGCTTGAAGGTGCAGAGGGGGGTGGAAATAGCGGCAGGGGTCCCGATTGCATCGGCCCTTGACAGCGTCCATGCAGACCGTCACAGAACCGTCCTCGTTCGCCTGCACCGTCTCGAGGGGGTGCGCAAACCGGCACTCCGTCTCACCGCGTTTGCACGCCCCACGTTGAAACTCGCGACATACCTACAGCAAGAGCGAACAACACGCATGGCATAGCACTCTATCTATGTGGGTTCACTGTAGTGAAAGATAATAAAAGGGGGTGAGTAAATTGGGGGGGGGGCAGGCCAGGTCAGTGGCTAGGCAGGTTTGGGGGATGCAAGGGGTTTTATTTAATATGGAGCTTGTCAACTGGGGATACAATAGATGGATATGGATGTATATACTGTTGTGGTGGTATATAGATGGATAATCAAGGGATGACATGTAATCTAGAGGCATTTCAGGATGATAGAGTGTTCAAGTTATAGATATACATCATTTATTTTTTATAATGGGGCTAGTTTTATTTTAAGGAAATTATTTAAGTAATATCATTTGTATGATGGAATGTTAATTTTTAATTTTGATTTTAATTCTATTTTTTTGGGCTAAGGTTGACAATAATTTATGTTATTTGTTATTGTATTATGACAAATTTATATTTTCAATTTTTAGAACCAAATTTTAAGCTTCTAAGCAACTAGAGTTTAGAAAAAAAAAAATAATAAAATCAGTAAACATTAAATCATTTCTAAGTTTTACTTAAAAAATAAATAAGTACAAAAAGAAATTTACATTTATAGTTTTTTTAAATTCCCATATTTGATTTCTAACTTAAAAATTTTGATTTTATTAAAATTTCACGTAATAATCTGATTAGAAGAGAAACCTCTCAAAATTTGATTTATTATTCAAGTAACAATATTATACCATTATTTAAATCGAGTGTTTTGCTAATTGAACTACTTTGTCCATTTAAATTAGTATTTTATTTTCATTAAAGTAGTCATAGGGGTTCTAAATAATGAAAATATTAATTAGCCTTAAAAATAATGATCAAAATGAAAACGACTATTGAATTGAGTTAAGAAATAAAAATTTTATTGAAATTTTTAACAGAAATAAAGCCCTAACATTCAATCATACAAATATCTACATACCCAATGATAGAAAAAGTACCAAACAAACAAATGATAGTAATGATGATGATAATAATAATAATAATAATAATGGTATGGGTTCAATTATTAGATAGTTAATCTACTTAGGCAAAAGTTCTCATAATTGTGAATATTGGTCTACTGTTAACGAGATTTAAATTTAAATGAACATTACTTCGACTGCACTGACGATAAATAAATAAATGTATGTACGTATGTTGTATGTATCAGTGCAAAATACACAGATTTATTGAGTAATGATAGAACGTCACTGGAGAATTGATACATCAGTGATATTGATTTAGCGGAAAGTCAAACGATATTCACATAGAACGAGAACGTGATTGCTAAAGGGACTAACTCTAGTATAGCCGGAGTGTGTTAAACAGTAGCAGCAGCAATGGCTCATACCAAATGGGTCCACTGTGCAGCTCTGAGGGATATACACTACGCTGCTGTGTCGGTCGTTTTGTGTTGTAACAATATTACAGGGTGATGTACACTGGGGAATTCTCCTGGTACTAGACTTAAGGGCAGACCAGCCGGGATAGGGAGCATAGGGGACCAGATTGGAGTATGAAATTAATATAACATGACTGAGAGAGTGAGCTAGTGAGTGAGTGAGTGAGTGATAAATTGAGTGAGTGAGGCAGAGATAGACAGAGTGAGAGTGAAAGAGAGTGAGGTGAGGAAGGAGTTGAGTCATTGATCGATTGTTCCGATGTGAATTTTGGTCTGACGATACTCTGATTGTGTCACTGAAATCTACCTTGTCACCCTTAGCTTACTTTACTTAGCTTGGCTTAGCTTACTTTACTTTGTCAATTAAACTCTCAGTTCACTGATTGATTCTATCATTAATTATTAATTATCATATCAAATACATAGCACTTGATTCAATTGATTAACTACTCTCAAGCTAAATCATTTCATTTAAATTACTGACAGATATATTTTTTTATAAATATATATGCTATCAAACGATCAAAGATTATCTTTTTACAGTTACGTTTCTTTCTATTAATTCAGCCACTACTTTGTAATGTTTTACGGTTACTACCCTACTAAACGAAGCTCACGATAACGTGAGTAACTACATTATACAAATTACTCTAATAGTCGCTTTACAATCTTTTAATGATTAATAAAATAATAAATAATTAATACGTTGTTATCGTTATCAGCTTAATAACAATAATAATTTTTTTTTTATTAATTATATTAGTATTATTAATATTATATCTTTGATAGTAAAAAATTTTTCATTTATTTTTCATGAATTTTATATTTCAAAAATAATTTGCGCTTATTGCAATTTAAATCCCATATTTTTATGAAACTAAAATTAACAGACTTTTAAGAATATCTTTCAGCAAATAAATTATTATAAAAATAGTCTTGAAATTTCAGCATCATACATTTTTTTATTGAATAAAAAATGATCAAAGAGGAAAAATTTTCGAATGATATAATTAAGTATAAATGTGAGAACAAAGCACGCGTCTCACATTTTCGTTATCAACACCAGTGATTCGGGAAATCCGAGTGCCTCGTTGTTTCTAATATCGAATGTAATCCACCACTCGCATTGATGTACATTGTTATCATTGTTAGAGTGTCACGGTTGACAGATAGTAGCAGGAGCATTGGAGAACGCGAGCGCGGCAAATTCACACAGACACACAGACATATTCCCACACGAATGTATTATATATGTATATATGTATATATGCTTACTTACGTACTCTCGTACATCAGATACTATACATACGGATAGATAGTAGTCAGATAGATAGATAAATAGACAGATAGGTGGATAGATAGCCAGACATACGTACACACACGAAATAAGCTTAACATATTGCGCTGTCAGTGCACATCTGTATCTGTATAAGTTAAGTACACGGCCAGCACATGGACACGCTCTCCTAAGACATACAGTCAGATAGACAGATAAGGAGTACAGTATATTGTGATATAGTAGTAGGAAAATACAGTCTAAAAATACGTGCACGTAAGCTTGTGCTCGAGACGGGTAAAACAGCCGACAGATGCAATTGATCATTTTCTTTTTTTATTTAATTTAAGCAAAAGTTTAATAATTACGTTCATTATAATTTGCAATTTGCAGCACAATGCGTTTAATCAAAATGACATCTTAGGCTCGTCATACGTCCGTCTCTTGTGATTATGAATAACTGTCGCAATGAGGCTAAGTGTATGCGCGTGCCGTATTGTCGTTATATTATGTATATACATATGTAGAGAGTCAGAGAGCGTATTACACATTTATTATGCGACATGCGAGGTACCACACGCCTCGTGACATCGAGTCGTGCTTGTGGCTATCCGAGTGTATGACGTATATGTATACATCTTATGTTATATGTTATATCTAATCCCAGGATTTCGCCGAAAGGCTCTACTAAATTTAGCAGTGCAGTTACAGGTCGATCCTTTGGGCTTGTGATCGCTCGGCAGTGTGCATCATCGAGGAAGGACTCAGGGTTGCGGTTTCAGGGTAATTGTAATGGTAAGATCTATGTGTGTGAATGTCTGCAGGGATATATACTGTTGATAGCGTTTGTAATGCTGTGAATTTGAATGAACGCTAATGTCGTTATCTATGTATTACAGAGGTGTAGTGTCTGGGTGAATGTGAATTTAGTCCAATGTCTTGGATATTTTATTACACTTTAACAGTTAATCGTGTGTTTTCATATCATTACTCTCTTATAAGTTTTTGTTTTTAAATATACATTTAAAGTTTTTAAGGTAACAACGTAACTACGTAACAGTAACATTGACAGTGATGCGAACTTACAGTAGTCAGACTCAAAGATCATTTTTTTCTTTTATTTTAAATGAGTAACTTATTTTTGAAAAATTGCACCGACAATTTTTGAAATTTTTTACATGTGCATTTTTTTATTTAAAATTTTTTTTGAATTAATAGAACTGATCTTTGAATTTAAATACTCAACTATAATTATAAGGCACACGTAATTATAAACACATATAATACTTTTGACATAATATGCTGAAAAAATATTTATGACAGAAAAAATAAAATAGTAAATGATATATTTAGTGTAAGTGTCTGTTGTGTACAACAACAACAACAACAACAACAACAACAACAACAACAACAACAACAGCAATAACAATTATAACAAGAGTAACACGATCAAGGTACATTTGCATGTCTTGAGCTAGGCTGTCTGTAGGTTGATCGTGTCGAGAGTTAGTTGTTGCTGGTTACCAGGAGTACGTTTTGTAAATTACGTTGTCTGTATGTGTGTTGTGTGTTATATATGTTTCTGTTTTTGGCACGTGTTAGCTAAATGCGTGACGTGAGTATATTGTAGCAAAGTTAATTTGTATGCGCATAAAAGTGTGATACATATACAAATATAAACACCATTATAAATTATATATGTATATATTAATATATACATGTATAGATATATATATATGTGTGTAAGTATGTGTGTATGTATATATATTTATATAAGAAAGTCAAAGTCACATGCTTTATTTAAATACTTAATTAATAATAATAAGCCCTTTCTCCTGGCTGTAAAATAAATAAAATACCATAATAATTACAATTAATAAATGCATTAGTAAAAATACTGATTAGAGAAAAGTATAAATTAAAAAATATATCTATTCATAAAATGTAAAATAATAAATATATCACTACTAGAAACAAATAATTGCCGTTTAGATAATACGTAATTAATTAATTAAAAGAGCAAATTTAATACATTAGCGTGAAATTTTTGTGACAATTGCACAAGTAATAAGCTGGTAAATAATAGCGTAATAGTAAAATCAGCAACACATTTTAATTTATATAGATATCGTTGTTATTGTTTCTTTTACAGATATATATATTATCACATATATATATATATATATATATAT